TAGATTTAAATCAGCACAGCCAGCGAAGGATCGAACGCAACTGTTTTGAACAAGCGCACCTTTTTTAACAACCAAAAAATGGCTGTTTCATGGTCTGTTGAGGAAGTACAGACGTTCCTCTCCTTGATAGCAGAGGAGCGGATCCAGCGAGAGCGTGATGGGGCGACACAGAATGAAAAGGTTTTTCAGGAGTCGCGGCAGTAGAGGCGGCGCAACTATAACGACATGTGAATAATCCCACCCACTCTAAAGCGGTACTAAACTGTAGTGAAAACGCAAGCCGAGCCGAGCCGTGCCGTACTGAGTCGAGTCGTACTACGCAGTGGAAAAGCGCCATAAGATGTTTATGATTTAGAATGCTGAAAATATAATTTATTTATTATGATTTATTATGCTGAAATGAGTGATGTGCCTGCCTGTGATGAGGAGATTGTGAATAAAAAAAAAAAAAGAATATTAGTTTAATTTAAAATAAAGATTTGCATTTGAATGTTAAGTGTGCGTCAGGGAGCGTCATCAGTGGCGCACGAGATACGGTGATAATGATGTAAGTGACGTTGCATTTTAATGTTTTGTCTTTGTCAATAATTATCGATACCGAACGATATGAAACATTATATCGTTGATACATTTTTTAGCTATATCGCCCAGCCTTAAGTCCTAGGTTTTTCTCTCTACTTGGAAAAAAACAAAAACAATTCTCTGGACTCTCTAGGCCAATAATTATCAAACATTGTTGAAATTTACCTTTTGGGAAGCTATAAAGGGGTCATTTAGAAAAGGGGCCTGTCCAAATTTACGCAAAACTCAAAACTTCACGAAACCTGCTGAGCACACAATAGGTGATTCTAAACAAACATGCAAAGTTTTAAGGGGATCAGACCACAGCTGGCGCTATAACAGTCATAAACATTAAAAAAACATATTTCTATGGTAAATTACCTGCATTTGCCAAAAATGCTTTTTAATCATTGATTTATGTGGGTCCAGCCTTGCTAAATAATATGTAGCATAATGTCTTTCCTTGTATGCTTAAATGTCTTAAGTGCTTAAACCTCGATAATCGCTGCTTGCAGCTATATTTATTATTATTATTGTTGTTGTTGTCGTCATTAATTGTTTTATAAATACAGGCAGTCACTGGTTTCTTTATTTTATTTTTTTATTGATTGATGTGTGTGTGTGTGTGTGCCTGCAGATGCTTGGTGACCATAGAATAATAAAGTATGACTGACCACTAATCTCTGTCAAATATCTCCGCCTACTGTTCGAGACACATTCTGTGAAATGTCATTAATTAATACCATAATTTGTTTCCTCTTTAATCCAAAAGGAGGTGTAATACCTAAAGAAAAACATCTGTTAGCATCCATAGCCTATTAATCTAAATGGTGCAGGACACTGCCAGGGCTTGTTTGTAAAGTAGACCAGAGGGGTCATCACTACAGCTACACTACACTGGCAAAAACATTTACTGTGATGTAATGAAATAATTGATATTTAAATGTTTCTTGCAAAAACAAAAACAAAAAAAGGAAAATAAAGTCAGAATACACAGACATTTCACAATGAAGTAAGACCAACCTCTCAGTAGTCAAATATTTGTTTGCTTTCCGAGTCACAATCTAGGCTACATAATTTCATTATTAATCACCATATTTTCTTATTTTTTCTTATTTCCTATTATGCACATTACTTTTGCCTATACTATGAAGTGAGAGGTAGAATCAGGATGTTTGTTTCTCTTTTGCAATGTGGCAACGCTTTCGAAGTGAAAAGTGCGCTTCGTGTCTAGCTGGAATAATCAGTCAGTAGTGGAAATTTATTTTGTAGCTCTTTTATATATTTTTATATTTACATTTCTTTTGTTTACTAAATAGTTAAAATATCGTATGTCTGGGTGTGATTGCAGTCGGGATAGCTCTCGTTCATCTTGCAAACAGCTCTTGTCGGCTCAGACCTAACATACTGGGATTATTCCTATGAATAATGCAGATTATGCAGATTCAACTACCACCTCAGCAAATGCAATATTCATCTCAAAGGGCCCAATATACATTAGAGATGAAGAGAAGTTCTGTAGGCCTACTGTTTAGTAAAAATCTAATAAAATCAGACATTACATACCTTTTAACATTGTTGCAAACACGGTTTCATAATTTCAGGGGTGAAAATCATATTTACAGAAACAGTAGTGAAAAAGTGACGTTTGTCAAATAAAGGTGGGAAGAATATGACCACATGCATAGCACCTACAGTCTTGTCTAATCGTGTGGTTAAATATAGTCAAGTGAAATCTGAATCTGGTGACTTATGTGTAGAACGGGTTGTGCAACGAAGAGGGGTGGGTGGCACAAGCACAACGATATTAAACTATTCCATCAAATCGCCAGGCTTACTTATTTGTGCTTTGTCTTATTTTCCATTGACAACACCTGATATCCTCTACAGAGGAAAAAGTGAATCTGTCTGATGTATTGCATATCACTGTAAGGAAATACATATTACTGCTTTAAAACAGGCATCTAGCCTATAAATATCTACTAGAGACAGACAGACAGATAGATAGATAGATAGATAGATGAAGCTGGATTACGACATTACAATGAACAACATAATCATATAGAAAACATTAGCTGCTTTTTATCAAATTTCTTTCAAAAGTCGTAATGAACTTTTAAAAAGTTACTGGTTTTGGCGCGAGACATTGCGTTGACACCCAATTGATCACGCGAGAATGAAGATGGAACTCGCGGATTGGTCGCTTGAACACCAATTAAATCGAGGCTGAGTCGATCCTTCCTGACAGGGAATCTAGATAAAAAGTTTGAGGTGGACACACAAGTAAAAGTTTGGAGAGTCGGAGTGAGGGGGTAAAATCCAGAGAGAGAAGATGAGCGACACAGAGGAATCTGAGCAACCTCAGCCCGAGAGAAAAGTTATCGGTAGGGGTTCAGTGACTTCAGCGACAATAATACGTTTATTGAAAACATACTGCAGATCATAGAAATGAACACGTCATGTATGTGGGGTGAAACGTGACTGACAGACTTTACTGACAATTGCCGTTTGTGTTTTGCTTTACATTTCGACAGTATCGTCTTTCAGAAAATGGTTTCATTTTTGTGGCGGACAGAAATAAAGTTGAATTCACTACTTCCACGTGCGGCTTTACATGTTGTATCGAGAAAGCTGTAGATAAATGCTTTTTAGAAACCACGGTTACCGTCATCCTGACTTATTTTACCATTTATAACTAACTTCTCACTGGACAATCTGTCTCTTGTTGGGATTTAATATTCTGTTTATGTAATTACAGAATAAAGAGAAATTAAAGGAACATGTCTGGTAGGATCTAAAGTTGTCCATATTTGAGGCAGGCCAGCGTTTGACTGTTTACACAGTGAGACTGCATTGATGACCCACATTTCTGCGCGCTGTCACCATGTGCTTTGTGGGAGGGATTTAACTGCAGGTGTGCTGCAATGTCGTTAGGTAAAAGATTTACATTTATGAGCCATTTGTAATTGCCCATATTTACCCACTGGATCGCATAATAATAAGAAAATATCTTCCTATCGGGCCAAAAACGCGTGTATGTTCGTCTACCTTTATGTCTTGGATAAAGTTGTGACCTGCGCTTGAGTGGCCAAAGAGGTTGAAGGCTCTCAAAGTTTGTAGCTGATTCATACACATGACCCACAGTGTTCAAATGAGTTGGTTCCTCGGGCTTTGCTTGAGCATACGAATCCTGTCAGATCTTCTCACTAGATGGTGGTGATATACTATTTTTCTTCTCTATTGCAGCGACAGGTGTGCAGGGAACTGTGAAATGGTTCAATGTGCGCAATGGATATGGCTTCATCAATAGGTATGTTAATAATACTGAAATGACTGCTCACCTGACTAACTATATGCACAGAGACACAGTCTGATGGATACTGTGGAGTCCAAACGTCTGAGACCACTAGTGTTTCCCCCCCCTAATTTAAATAAACAGCCATTTTCATTGCAGTGTAACAAATGTGATCAGTGACCTAAAACGCTGTCTGAAATGTAAAATTCTAAAACCTTATTTACATGTTTAAATGAAGAAAGCCCAGATTTTACCCAAGTGATCTCAGGCTTATTGGACGTGTGTGTGTGTGTGTGAGAGAGAGAGAGATCATATTGCTAAGCAAGCATTTAAATAATTATGGTTTTATTAAATAATCATGATTTTATGCCTATCTGTTAAGTTTTCAGAAAATGTTTGTTAAAATATCAATTAATTGTATTTAATGCTTTTTGTTTCACAGAAATGATACTAAAGAGGATGTGTTTGTTCATCAGGTAATGAGTTTGCTTTATAAACGCATAGCAACATTTCATTTAGACTATTTAAAATTTTAAAATAGCAACTCCTTAAATGAAAGGTTATAGAGTAATGCCACTAGTGTAGTCTTGAACAAATGTTTGACTCGGATGGCAAATGCAGCATATATACATGACATTCTTCCATAGTAAGTTTAAATGACATTAGAAAAATGAAAACCTATTGAGATCACCTATCACCTAAACAGTTGTTTTTTGAATTGGTTTGACTTGCAATTTAACTCACCCAGCATTGTTGAAAATTGATGTTATGCTAAGGATGTGCCTCTTCCCTTTGTGCAGACTGCAATAAAAAAGAATAACCCAAGAAAGTTCCTCAGAAGTGTGGGGGATGGTGAGGTTGTGGAGTTTGATGTTGTCGAAGCAGCTAAAGTAAGTGGTATCTGGATGAATCAAAAGAGTGTTGGGGAATATTGTGAGTTTTATAACTTTTATAGCCTCTAAAACGGAGTCTTTGTTTCAGGGCTCAGAGGCAGCAAATGTGACTGGTCCAGGGGGTATACCTGTCAAAGGCAGTCGATACGCCCCCAATAAACGAAGATTCCGTAGGCGCTTTTACCCCCGTAATGCACAGCCTGCTGAAGGAGAGGAGAAAGCTGCACCAGGGCCCATATCTGAGGGAGAGGGCAGTGAAGAGAAAGGAGCCCCTCTGCCACGTCCTCGGCGCCAGCGTCCACGCAGAAGACCTGTTCAGCCACAAGGCGAGGTGAGGTCATTTAAATTCTTTTTAACCGAAGGTCTAGTATGCCTTGGATTAATAGAAGTATTTTTGAAACGTTGTAAATTGAGAATGTAAGCTGTCAATATTGAGTATGATATTAAAGGGATAGTTCACCCCAAAATTTTTCGTGTCATTCCAAACCCATAAGACCTTCGTTCATCTTTATGAAATCTGAGAGCTCTCTGACCCTCCATAGACCGCAAGTGTACTACCACGATCAAGGCACAGAAATGTAGTAACGACATTGTTAAAACAGTCCACGTGACATCAGTGGTTCAACCGTGCGAGAATACTTTTTGTGTGTAAAGAAAACAAATAACGACTTTATTCAACAATTCTTCTCTTCCGCGTCACCCTAGCGCCATTTTGGAGAGTATCACGATGCATATGTGTGTTTTCCCTGCACATATACAACGCATGTGTATGATGCTGCTAAAAAGAACATTATTTTGTGTATTTGGTGTAATGAAATGTGTTTATGTGGTTTAAGGTTAAAAAAACACTATTTTCCACATACTGTACATTATTGTTTCTCCTCTATGCCCCGCCTTTCTGAAACGCGTCGATTTTTACAAAGCTCATTGGTCTGAAAAAGCGAGGTGTGCTGTGATTGGCCAGCTATCCAGTGCGTTGTGATTGGCCGAATACCTCAAGCGTGTGACGGAAATGTTATGTCCCTTACCATATTGTGATGATGCCCCACGGCACAATGAGACAAAAACATTAAAACCCATTACAAAAGAGGCATTTGTTGCATCCAGTGGGGACATAAATAC